TATGCGTGTGTGTTTATGTGCGTACATATACCTCGAGAGAGCTTACTGACGTAACTTGTTAGGCGTACTTTGATGTTTTTATTTTGTGATGCGCGATAAAGGTAATTTTTTTTTTTGTCTCATTCTCGATCTTGAAGTAAATTCTATTTGATTAGCGATAATAATCGATAATTGATAAGCATCCACCTGATTTATCATTTCCATCGTATTATTATTACTCTATTATGACTAATTTCTATTTTTCTCCTTTAAATCATGAAGAAATAATATAAATGAAAAATATTATATATAATGTGTGAATAAATCGTAGCTGCAGATTGTATCTATAAAAAAATTAAAGACGCTTTAATTATACGACACTTTAATTATACAAATATGACAACTATCGAGTTTATGACATCTTTATAAGGACAATTATTAATGTATCTAAAATAGAAAAACTAATTTACATAAATGTATATGAAGATTTATTCCTTATTACAAACAGTTCAAACACACGAAGCGATCGGGGATACGAGTACTCTTTAAAAAAAGTAAGAACGTATTATTATTATTATTATTCGTATAACGTATATATAAGCACTCCTCATAAATAAGTCTCGCCTAGTTTACACGCGTTAGAGTTACTTATCGCTATCTTAAAAGCTACTTTTGTACATTACACGTTTGTACATAGAGTAATGCGTTGCGGATTTCGTTTCAAGATATGTCTCTTACAAAAATGCGCGCAAAATGCAATAGAAAACAGTCTTTCGTGTTAAAATACCAATATATATACATATCGATGACATAAATAATAAACACGTCAGAAACGCGACAGAACCAGAAGATGAGTGAAACAAGTACTGGTATACCACTTTTTGACTGTCAAAATGTCTTACTTATATAACATACTCTTCTTTTCGATTATGATGCCATCGATGTATTATCGAATTGAAGATTATTTAGACAGAAAGAAATGATGAAATACAAATACTTTTTTTGCTCGTTATATGTACACAAAGAAAATTTGTTTTATAGTACAGAAAAATGTCTCTGAATTCTGCCGTGCATTTTATTTAGTATTTATGGAGAAAAGGAAATTTCTTCTATGGTCGAAATTAAATTATCCAATCCAAATAGAAAACCCTCTTCGTGGTTGCCTTCCTCCCAAGGACGCCTATGCGTAAGCTTTCGTCCGTCCGGTACCTCGCGTGTCTTCGCGAAATCTATTAGCCAAACGCCCACCTTTTCGCTATCGTAGATCATAAAGATACTACTGCCGATTACCTGTATGATAAAAAATACAATAATGTTATACATTTTTACAATGAAGCATATATAATCCATGTATTCTCAAACGAATAGATGTATGAAATGACAATCGATATACAGAACTTCAAAAAAAAAACAATATAATACCTCGTGGGTTTTAAAATACTCGGACTCCTCGATCTTGGTTCGCAAATTTCTGAGACGTGCAAGGATTTTCTGACGGGTGTCCTCGCGCCTACTAAGGAACTGCCTTATGGTGTCGAGTACCTCCGAGTGCGACTTGACCTTTTTGAGATCAGTGATCGGTGGCGCACCCGGCAATTTCATCGCCTCGATGCGAAAACCATGGCTGCAGGTCGAGCTCTGTTGCTCGCGGAATTGCATGTACCGTAACTTGGTTACGGCGCGCTGCTCGTGCTCCAACTGGGTCGGCGCGTTCGGATCGACGGTTATCATCTTCTCATAGAGATCCGGCCTGGCGGTGGTCTTGGACACCTCGGACTCGAGGAAGGTCCGCGTGCCCATCTTGATATCCATTACGTGGGGATCGTTGAAACCGAACAGCAAATTCTGCAGCTCGATGAACGTATCGCCTTTGTACTCGACCTCCCGGTAATATCTACGAGGAGTGATGATGACACATTGAGTTTCCCGCGGTATGTGTGGTCTACGCTCTTTATTACTTACGTCACTTTAATAAAAGACAAGAGTGAATCTTTCAGACATACCTCGGTATGCAATCCCGCAACGCTTTCTCCTTGCTTAGGGTCTCATAAACGATGCGCTCTGTATTTTCGGCGCCGCCTGTCTTTCTTTTCCAGACAGTGCCAGGACCGGCGGGCGCGAAACCATCCGGATGGCCCGACAATTGAAACCAGGACTTTAATCGGTTCTTCAGCAGCACATCGCTCGCCGGCGCCGTCAGATCCAGAGCATTCTGCAATATCGCAAAAAATCATTTTGAGCCAATTTTCTATGGAGAACGAATGCGAATAATGACAACCGAACTGATCGAACATCCGGTATATGGATATACACGTACCAGGGCGAGAAATTTCAGGGAGAGGTCGGCATCGTCCGGCATCGTCGCGTCGGACAGGACCAGGGGGAATTGTTCCATCTTCCGGATGGTGGCCGTGTCATTGGGCGCTTTGGCCAGGGAGTGGGACGATCTGGAGCCAGCGCTGTTGGAGCGGCTGTTGTTGGAGCCCATCGAGCTTCGTCGCCACTGGCGGAAAGCGCTGTAGGTGCTGTTGCTGCTGCTACTACTGCTGCTGGACCCATCCTTCTGCCGACGGTGATCCCTGCTGTCCGTCGAATCATGATTGCTCAATCGGGTTTGCTCCTTGCTTGAGGGCTGCAACCAGAGAGGTCTACTAAGAATTTAATCCAACCGGGACACAATGCGTCGCGTTACGGGGCGCGCCGCCTCGAAATTTCAGTCGTCCGGAACCGGGGAATTGATACAATGCGATGAAACAATATCCGAGACGATAAATAATATTACATCGCAAGCACGATTATAATTTCAAGATCGAATCCCCGAGTTATCCCGTCGTTCGCTTTTTCGATGGAGAAATCGTCCGAAGGTTGTTTATCATTATTCGCGTTAAGTCGCGTTATCGACGCTTTTCGATGCGAATGCTTGCTCGATTTCGCGATACGCCGTTCATTTTAATCTCCGCGACAAGGTCCGCGCCGTAATTCGGCCTCGTGATTTCGGCCTCGCTCATCGGCTCGCGTCTCCCACGCGCGAACGTAAACACCGATTTACAAGACGGGAGAAATTAACCGAACGTATCGTCGATCGTACCGGACGGTCGTTGACAATCCGCACAGATTTATCTCTCATTATACAACGAGAACGAGAAAAACAGAGAGAGAGAGAGAGACATGTGTCGAACGCAGGTTGATATTCGTGTGTGCCTCGCAGAGAGATCGCGAGAAAAAGACTCGAAGAGCGCAAGATCGTTTCGTAAATATTTCGCGGATCGAGTCTCTCTCACGCTATGTCCATTGACGTCAGTGACTTTTATTCGAGTTGCACCGGTTGCCGCGGGGCCCGATTCCGGCAGTCGCAGCCGCTCCGATATAAGACTCGATCTCGCCCCGGGGACCGATCGAAATGTCGAGGCTCTTAATAACGAGATGCGGGATGATGTAAATGATGTGTAGACCTGCATCCACCCATTTCACTTGCTAATTAATACAAACCTGCGAATTCAACATTTCTCCATGCAAATTATTTTTAATTAATTACACCTCTTTCTGTCGGCCGGTGCGCGATTTCTATTTTTGTCGCGCCTTTGACGCACGTCGTTTAAAATTCCAGAGAAAAAAAAAAAAAACACGGAGAGAATACACTCTCCTCCCCGCCAATTTTTTTTTTTTTTTTTTTTTCTGTCGACGGATTTTTTTCACGAAGAGAGGATCGAAGGAAAAGCGTTACAGTAGAACGTTACTTGCGTTCTAAAGGTATTTACTATCCGATTTCTGCAACAATTGAAATTACGTAATGCTTTTATCGCATCCACGCGAACGGAGGATTATCATAAATTATCGTGAATTACTAAAGATTGCTCGGTGACTTAATGATGAGTCATTAAATTGCCTCTATACGTCTAGCGTGAAAATTTTCAATCGGCAGAAGCGCGAAGATTGACGAACGAACAGTACGGTAAAGATATTGCGGAAGAAGAAAAAAGATTGGTCGTGTGCATAAAACGAGAGTAGTCTCGTGTAAATACATATGCGTTTGACGAGGAAGAACAATAAGCGTTAATGAATGTTAATCGCGCGCGGTTTCGCCCGTTAAGTTTGGCCGCGACGGATACGCGCTCGTTCCTATTCGGTCATTCATCGTGTCGCGAATCACCGTAATGCGGCTTTTGTGGCGAAAATAATCGAGCGCATAAACACCGTATTATACATATAT